CGCCTCCATTGCCACGGCCTCTGTTGCCGCGGACACCTCCTCCATTGCCGTGGACACCATTGCCACGACCACCTCCACCGCGGCCAAAACCACCACGGCCACGAGAGATGGTATTTGCCGAGGACTGGGAGGAGTGGTTGCCACCTTCGAACATAGCAAGACGCTTTTCAAAATCGATCAACTAAGAGTAAAGTTCAGCTACCTTGATTGGTTCAGTCCTCGCGGCGCAGATGGACGAGACAAACGAGATGTAGTCGTAGTCTAGTCCGGCGAGGATGTAGGAGACCATGTCATCATCGTCGAGCGGCTTGCCTGCTGAAGCCATCTCGTCGCCCAGCGCTTTCATGCGCCCGATGTAGTCGGCGATGGTCGCGGTGCCCTTTTTGGTGGTGGAGAGGGCGATCCGCGTGTTGACGATGTTGGCCTGCGTCTGGGAAAGGAACATCTCCCTGATGGCGGTCCATGCCGCGGCGGCCTTGGTGCAGTGGGCGACTTGGATCATCACAGGTGGCGAGATCGAGTTGAAGATGAAGCTCAGCACCTGCGAGTCTTGCGCCAGGGTGACAACATACGCCGGGTTTGGCACATCTGTCGGCTTACCGTCTTTATCGGCAAGCTTGGGCTCCGGGGACGGGTGATCAGGGTTGAGGTGATCAATCAGCTGCGCTCCGCGTGGCTAGGGCTTGCGCGCGCCAGACCAGGTAGTTGCCCCGGTGCAGCTTGTCAGCGATGGGAATGAGGGCAAAAGCGGCGGCGGCGGAGCTGGAGCTAGCCATGACTAGGTTTGGATGTTGGAGAGGAAGTTGGCTCTGAATACCATGAAAGATTGGATGAAGCGTATACTTCTGGCAGGGACGCGTTGCATGTTATATAGGCAAAGAGGTTTACAAGATTTGGTAGTTCGGTTGTGTTGGATTGATCCTCAAGAAAGATATACGACGATGAGGATGAATCCTAACAACCACAACTACCGGTTACAACAACCACGCAACACGCTAGCCTATCGGCGTATATATGATTTATATTTATACCGTATATACATGTTATAATATATTCTAACAACTTTCACTGGCTCGACAATATTGCACAAATCATGTGTACACATTTACATATGCGCTCCGCCGTGTCGGGAATCAGGGTAGATCTCGATCTGCAGCTAGCGATGCATACGCATGCGCGCTCCAGCCTCCATGGAACCCTGCATGCAGCTCTTGGTAGCTCCACACATCTTACCTTCACTTTCATCATTTTTCTTTTGCCGTTTAATTTTCAAATTTTTATATATTCTCAACGACACGTCCAATTTAGTTTTTGTTTCTAGATTCATGTTGCTTGTGACAAAGGCCGTGTCCAGTTATCTTTCCATTGTAATGGATATTGTTTTCCATGATAATTACCAGCTTTATGATGCCTTCGGGTGTCCTTTCTAAAGAAAAAAACCTTTACTTCCCATTCCCCACACCCCTTAACCTCCGCCACCCCGATACAAAGACACATGTGGAAAGGAAAATGAAAGCATGTGTCATAAAATGAAAGCGACGCTCACATGCATTGGAGCGCCCATATCCATCTGTACATCTGGAATGCTCTATGATCCAAATTCAAGTATAAAGGTAAAGCCTAACTTCTTACGAGCGAGCGGAGCGAGGCTCGCCGCCAGTGCTATATATCTCCTTTGTAAGCCGCCACACGGGATAAGTCGATCAATTGTAAATCTCCGAAGTTTGTAAGTTCCCTTGATATAGTGAAGATTTGCTGACGCCCGTGGTTTTTTCTCCTTCGTGTTGCAGGGGCTTTCCACGTTAAAATCGCGTGTCTCCAGTGTTGATTTCATTCTTTTCCGTTTGATATTAAACACAACAAAATGTAAAGACCAAATAAGAAACACGGATTGGAGATATTACCTAACATTATTCATAAGTAAAGCACAAAATACACTTAAGTTGGGCCAAGACCGGAGTTCTTGGAGACCGATTTTAATTATAATTACATGACCTTGATGAATTGTTCCTACTAACTACAAGTGATACACACTTGCCTGAACGGCTAAACAATAGATACATACATAACATAAATACATAGTTGATATCCCCTAAAAACATACTGTAGAATATACATAACAACACATGACGTTTGCAAAATCTCTGCTCGAAGCAAAACAAGAATCCACCTTGAGCTGTTACACTCTAATCACCGTACATGGCACAGCATGGCCTAGAAGGCCGGGCAAACCTTGCTGATGATCCAGAGAACAAAGCCCCATATGAGCTCATTCTCTCTGGCCTTCACCTGATGCTCATGGCTTCTCGCACTCATGTTTCTTCTCTGAACCTGGCTCCTCAAAGCAATGGCCTCCACTGCCTCGTACACCATTATTCTCTCCTGGGATGCTGCCGCAGATGCTAGATGGTTGTACACAAAGTGATGAAGAGATTGGTGACTTGAGGATCCATCGATCTCCTGAGTATTTGTAATCGTAGAGCTCGGTTCCGCGAGGCAGGAAGGCAGGTAGGAAGGAAGAAGGAGCTGGCTGGCTTGGTTGCCAAGGTAGTACAGGTACAGTAAGCTGTAAGCAGGATATGTCGCCATGTTGGGGACTCTAATTGAGTGATGGGTCAAGCAGTCAAACTACGTGTGATGACAGACGATGTCTGGGATAATTTGAGAATGTTCCGTCGCCATCACGTTTGGAGACGACTAGTTCGAGCAGCAAAGCAGTGTTGTTCTGTTTTCTATAATTTTTGAAGACATTTGGTGGCGGCAAGATAGATTTGACCGCCCATTCTTTACTCAAGAGTTTTTGCAAGACTTGGTGGCGGCAAGATAAATTTATAATTGTTTCTATCAAGTTTTAGTAATTGAAACTTGCTCAAACATCCGATTTACCTTGCGATCCGTAAAGTCGTTTAATTCTGCACGAGGGCACACCAAGTTTTAAGTTTCAGTTTCTAAAAGTTACGGTTCCCGTTTGCGCGTACCAAGTTTTGAAAGTTGAAATTTAATGAATTTTAAAACTCGTCAAAATATATTTAAAATTGATCTTTTTTAAAGAATGAATCAGTAAAAATTAAAATTACATTGAAAATCATACTAGCCTTCTTCTTTCATCAATTGTATGCTTCTCGCTGGTGGTTGAAAATTACACTGAACCAAACAGTAAAGGAAAGGGATACCTGAAAACGTCCTCGACATATCTGGCTTGAAAGACCGCCACGGCTACTCGCCCATTGAAACGAGATATAAATCGTGGAGGAATATTAGTTGGATCATCAACCCACAAACACAGGCTTGCAATCCATCACCATCGATCCAAGAGAAAGTGAAACCGGACCATGCCCCAGAACAACATGAAACAAGATGTCGAAGTCACCACACCAATAGCCAGCTCATTCCTCACTGTGATAGACACACCAATTGCCAAAGATATGAAGAGAGACGACAAATCTGGTGCCACAAAATTTAACAGGCCCTTTGTCGTCCTCGGGTCGGACCTCATCGGAGTAGGGATATGCCGGAGAGACCTTATTCCAACATGCCATTGCCGCAACCACCTCGCCGATTCTGCTAGGGAAACAAAACCTAAGTAAAATAAAAAATAAAATAGATGGGTCCCCATTCC